GCTGAAAAATTTTCCGCTCCTTAGGGGGGCGGCAGCTTCAAAAAGGTTGAGAATCACTGATATAGATAGTTATCTATCTACAGTATATGGTTGCTAGGAGTCTAAAACAACTTGATGGCACATAATCAAAAGGTTTTATTTAGATATGTTCAATATAAAAGAAAGAGAAGTGGAGAAGTCCCCTCCCTCCCTTCCTTCCTTTTCTGACCCTCTTTAACATGTTAGAATCACTCACCCATTTTTAGACTTCCCAATACAAGTCCTTACCATCAAGTTGTTTTCCCAACTCTTCTTGGATGAGTCTTCGCAATGTTTCTATTGATGGAGGATCCCCCTAGGAGAAAAAAATGATACTTTAAGATACCAGAGTTTAAAATACTGATGCTTACGAATGAGTTTAATTTCTTTCTTAAGCACCTAAGAAAGTTCACTCATTCTTTCTTAAGTTAAAATGTGCAATAGAATAGCATCTTCAAGAAAGACTTTAGGATATACATTCTAGCATTTCAAAGGCTTCATAGAGCCTTTAGTCACAACAAACCTTTGAAAGAATGGGATTGACTACAGTGTAATAATTCTAAATGGTTCCAGATTTTAATACAGGAAAGGGTTGGGCATACTGTATCTATAAGAAGAAGATGCAATCATTCATGAAGGAAGCATGAGATTATTCCTCAATATTTCTCTGTGTTAAATACACATAATAGCATGTACATGCTATAATGGATACACTTGGTGATGGTAATAATGGTGTTGAAGGCATTTTAAGATTCTGATGAAAACCTGGAACCCAAAATTCATTTCCTCCAGAAGGTCTTCCTCAAACTTGTCCTTTGCAGAGATTCCAAGTACTCCACCCTTAGCAAATTATTCACGGAGCACAATATATAAATATACAAAAATGCAGTCATTGACAGCAATGGATAGTTCACATTGAAACAGATATGAATTATTGGGTAGTTGTCCTACGATAGTTTTTTAACGTTTGGCTGCCTTTCATAGTTGATGAGTTAAAAAAATAGAATACAACAACTGATAAGATGCATACATAAGCATCTGCAACAAGACATGATTTCATCAAAGGTACAAACAGGTCCGAGTTTACATCATAACCTCACCGCATGTTTTGCCATTTGGTTTCCTTGTGCCCCCCCATGGTGGCAGACATTTTGGTTTAGCCCACCTGAAGTACATTTCCCCTAAACTCACTCTAGGCCCAGGAAATCCAGGTTGTCCTGGAGGGCCAGGAGGTCCAACTTGTCCTGATTCTCCTGATGCTCCGGGGGGACCCATTAGTCCTGTGTGTCCTTTGCGACCAGGAACTCCTGGATCACCTGGTGCTCCCTTCTCTCCTGCTGGCCCTGTTTCACCTTTGGCTCCAGGATCTCCCTGATGGACAAAAAAAAAAAAGATGAATCAGACTGGATTAGATTGGATTAAGCAAAAAATGAAGGGTGATAATTCTTCATCAGAGAGCCATTGAAAATGCTGGATGGATAGACCAGACACTACTGCATTAGGTAGTGGGGGGAAATCCAGGTGGCGGAGTCACTCATCTCCCCCAGAATTCTTAACTTGCTTCAGATGTCCTCTCTGGGTGAAGGGGAAGAGTTTCACCCACTGCAATCAGGATATAAGGCCATCAGTTGACAGTCAGGGACCTGAGAATCCTACAAATTATGAAATTACAGCTGGGGTGATGATGAACTGAATGAAATAGCAAGAATTGGTTTACCTGGGAGCACAAACAATGTGATTGCATGTCATGTGCTACTGATGTGTTACAGAAAGCTAACATTGACAATTATCAGACTGGGTTTTAAAATTCTGGGATATGAATGAAGCTCTCTTACTTACCCTTTCACCTTTTTCTCCAAGTGCTCCTGGTTGCCCTGATGTGCCCTGAAAACAGAGAAGAGGTCTAAAGACAAGCTATAAAGACAGTACTTTGGAAGGGGGGGGGTGATCTCTCTTTCATTCTTATGTACTAATGTGAATGGGAAAATTAATTATATCACACTAATTATAATAGTGCTTAATATAGCAAGCAGAAAATATAATAAATGTTATTGGGGATGGATGAAACTTCGATTCAGAGATTTGATTTAAAACCAGTTCACTGAATCTCTGAACTGAATAAACTTTCCAACTAAACTTGGAAAGTCCAACCCAGTCTTTGATCTAAATCAATTGAATGACTGAGGAAGATATGCAAGTGACCTCCCCCCCCCCTTTTTTTTTCACCTAATCAACCAAAAAATAATAATTTAATTTAATGCCAAATTTTGACCCACACACTCCTGGCAAGCCAGCCCATCCCAGTTAAGATGACTTAATTCATTAAATCAATTCAACGCTTTGAATCAGACTGGATTCTGTCACAATTAATGCTACAGGTCAAATGAATGAGGTGATCCACACACATTTAAAATATATTAGGCAAAGCTTTAATGTATTGCCAGAGGAATATGGCAACTTCTGATTTCTTTACACATCATGGTTTTTCATCTACAAGTTGTGTGACTGAACGGATGCCTTCTTCTGAAACTGCAGTCAGAGATGTATTTGAAACCAGTTAGTAGGAGCTCCCAATTTGTTCACACTTCTGCAAGCTCCTTCATTATGACCTTCAAAATCAGCTTCAGGGGTATTTGGAAATTTGCAGTCACTCTTAGTGGCACAAATGAATCAGCACCTATGTGTGAGGAAGGTAACAAAATACATACCTCTTTCCCTGGGACCCCCTTTTCCCCTGGTTCTCCCTAGGAAACAGAAAGATAAACTATATTATGAAGCATGGCAAATAACCTACAGCAGTGTTTCTCAACCTTGGTGACTTTAAGATGCATGGGCTTCAACTCCCAGAACCCACATATCTTAAAGCTGCCAAGCTTGAGAAACCCTGACCTACAGTTTGGATTCTAAGGGGGTATAAATGTGTACAAATATTGCAAATTAGCAGATGTGTAAAAAGGAGGAAGTCAGAAACTTAATAGTTCTTTAAAAAAAAAAATCTCTTCCTTTTTTCTTCTTCTTCTTTTTTTTACTTTTTGGCATTTTAATTTTTCTTAAATTAGCTTTGTTCATCTACCCAAAATCTTTATTATATAACAAATACCTTGATGCAAGTCGCAGTGTGTTCTTTTTTAATTTGTTTTTCCTTTCCTTTCCAATGTTATACTTTCGTTCAAAATGAATGAAAAAGCCAAATAATTTTCCTGCTCATAACACGGATATCCTAAAATTTTAGCTAATATTGATAGAATATTTACTTTTTTCTTTTCTTTATTTTCAATACTCAAAGTTATCTCAATAATAGAATGCCAAGAATTTGTAGTTATATCATATAAATAGCATTGTACTGAAATAGCATAATGTATCAAGTTTTATAACAACACAATAAAAAGGAAAAAAAGAAAGTTTAAAAAAGGCAAGCATTACTGTATTTTATATGTTGTGACTGGGAAAAAAAGCAGTTTCACTAATGCATTTTTCTTGGCCTCTCATCTATTCACTGCTTTCAACAGGCTACACAAAGCAATATTTACATGAATTGCTATTACTATGAGTTGCTGAAAAAGAAACTGTTTCAGCAGGTAGCAGAACCAGGCCAACCTTGTCTTGGGTTGGGAGCTAAGTAGAGATGGAACTGTTTAGGATTTGGATGGGAGACCATCAGGATATCCCAGGGTAGATGGGAAGTCAAAGGAGCAAAGAAGGCAATGACTAACCACTTCAGCACTATTGCCAAGGAAACCACAAAAATATTCTTGCAGAGTCACCAGAAGTTAAGATTGACTCAGATTCATCTTTACTTTTCCTTAATGAGGACTTCCTAATTATGTTGTGTTCTTATTCTAACCCCAGCATGGTCATCATCAATTTGCTACTTACAGGAGGACCTCTTGGTCCAATGAAACCAGGAACTCCTGGGCTACCACTTTCACCTTTGCTTCCCTTGGAGCCCTTGGGGTGAAAAAGAGAAGACATAAAGACCTAAGAATGCCTCGATCACTATCATTCAGAAAGAATATGAAGTTTAGACTCAAGAACCACCTTCTGTCCCAATTCTGCAGAGCATGGTAAACACAATGACTTGCCAGAAGCCAATCAAAGGGGTAAAGTTTGCACATTATCTAATGACTGTACAGCACACTACAAACCTATTTATTACTTGCATAAGAGATGCTGATTAAGTTCCCTGAGCAAAACCTTGAAGAAGAATGTTAGGGCCGGTATAATTAGTTCCTAGTTCTCCTCCCTGAATCTAATTTTAGACAGTTCTTCGAGGCACACCTGCAAAAATGTGGAGCCTCTTGGTTCTTGCGACCACCTGATATGGACAAATGAATCAGTCAGACACACTTCTCCTTAGTTTAGGGAAAGGATGGGTATCCTGCAGGCTTTGGGCTTCCTGTGGCTTCCAGCTTCCATGCTGCCAACTCCCAGTCTGCAGGCCTCTGCAGACCATCCTGCAGAAATTTAACAGCAAACTTGCCAGTTTGGGGGAGCATAATTTTCAGTAATTTTTAGGCTCAAATCAGGATCCATTTGCTCCTCTCAAACCCTCAAATAATAATTATTTTAAGCATGGAGTGGAAAAAAATGGTCTTTCCTTCCCAATGATAGCACTGCATCAAGACTATTGCTCTTCCATCTTTCCAAGTACAAAAAGAAGGCAATCAAAGAGTCATAGTATTGGAAGAGAATTGGAAGGTCTCCTGGTCTATCTCTTTGCCAGGGCAGGATCCTCATACAATTTCAGATGAATGGCTGTCCAGCCTTTGCTTGGAAGCCTCCGGTGATGGAGCACTCACAACTCCAGGAAGCAGGCTGTTTCACTGCCTCTGTCACAGACAGACAATTCCTCCTTATTTCAAATTGGGATCTCCTGTAAAATTTCCTCCCATTGGTTCTTGTCCTACATTCAGGATAGGACATGGCAATCTTAGAGCAAAGATTTCATTTGGATGGCCTGTAGCACACACCTAGAACAGTGTCATCTTTGTTTACTTTACTCTTGATTTTCACCTACACACTTTTGGCAAGGTTTTCACCCTTGCTATTATGAAATTCAATGGAGAATTCTTTACATATGTGACCACCTCCCCTTTGATTGGATCTCTTTCTTTTGAACAAATTATAACTTTCCAGTACTATGCTCCAGTAACAAGTTCCATTCCATCATGTTTCAGTAACACTAACAAAGTGATATTTTGCCCCTTGTACTGGACTTCAAGTTCTCCTTGTTTGATCCCTATGTTCTTTGCATCAGAATCTCCTTAGAATTGTCTCTTACAACTCCTGGTATGTTCCTGAGCATGGATTCTTCTTACCACTTTCTTCCTCATTGTAAGGTTTATTGAAAAAAAGTGATCCTGAGACCAGTTTGAAATTGCCAATTCCTGTTCTAGCAGACTCTTACTTACAGTGTAAGAGGAAAATCAAATTTCAGAAGTCCCACAATTGTGGAGAACTCTTAGAAGTCAGGAATATCAGCAAGATGTATTTATTGATTTGTCCACATCTGTATGCTGCCTACTCATGAAACTCTAGATAGACCAATGGTCAGCAAGATGGACCAATGATTCCATCAACATAGTCAGCTGCTTTGTTTTTGCAGAAAATTCCTACCAATTCAGCTGTACAGCCATGAGCTTGTCCGAAAAGGAGTGATGAAAAGGAGTGATGTTATTTTGAGATTATGTTACAAATGTGTACATCAGCCACTCTCAAATGGCTCTGGGAGGCTTACTATGATTTTAATATTAAAACCACATAGACTACAATGTTTTTTTTTTTAATCTAATTGTCTAAAAAAAAAACATTTTGAACCCCTCCTAGCCTGACTGAGCTCCAATATCAGCTTGCTTCATAATATATGAGAAATTCCCCAGTTTTGAGACAAGATGTGAGTGTGTATATGAGAACAGATATTCTTGCAAGTAGTTTTGGCCAAATGTATGTTAGGCTTAGTATATCAAAATGAGGACTTTGATTTGGCCTTGAAAAGCAACCAGCAACCACTGTAGCTCTGTTCACACATCAACAAGGTTAAAGACATCTTAAGAACCCTCTTTCTTGGAGTTTTGACAAGGGCAACTTGATTCCAATAAAAACTTGTCAAAATCCTTCACAGTGCTTTGACCTATCACTTCCCAGAAGTCCCTGGAAGCATCCTTTCTTGCTTTCTGCCATGGATGAATTCTGGGATTATTCTGGTCTACTTCCTATCTACTTAATACTTTAGTCCAGTCCCTTGCTCACTATATGAATCCAAATTTTTGTTGTTGTTCAGTTGTTAAGTCATGTCCAACTCTTCGTGACCCCATGAACCAC